GGTCTGATGTTTAAACTTTCATGAAATGACAATTCCCCTTGGCTAATAAATGCAAGGCAACATGCTTAATTTTCCCACTATTACTTTAGAGTCCTTCTGTTCATAAGATTAACACTGTTATTAACAGAAAACTAATTTTAACATCATGTAGTACCTCTACCTTTTAAATAGCTAAGATAGTCCTACTTGTTCCAGTTACTTGATAAATTACAAGAAATTCATAAGATTATTGATTGACCTGAGTCTTTTTAAATTTTTAAATTGGCAAAACTGGCAGAAATTTAGGTGAATAAATTTAACAGTGAGCTGAGGCCCATGAGAACGTATTCTCACTTTACCTCCTCTCTGTGCAAAGGGACAGGATACGAATGTGCCTTTTTAAGTAAAGATGTCTCACTGGTTGTATAGTAATTCAACTTTCTCTAGCGTTAACCACCCTGTACTATGGGAGCCCGCGTACTTTTCTGTATCCTGCTGTGTTAAATTTTGTCAGTTCCTTTGGACAAAACTTCATGGTGGTGAAAATGGGGTTGGTTGCTCATATGTAGAAGTATATATTCATTTCTGCTCTCATTGTAAAATTCACATTTTACAGCGCACCTTCCAGTGTCCTGTGTTATGTTTTCCATACATAAAACAATGGCAGTACGCATAACAGTTCTGCGGCTGCGAACTCACTGCATGTCAAATGCTGAGCTATGCCCTAAAGCCAGGAGTTAAATAAAACATAGTCTTTGACTCTTGGGATTGTGGGACACAGAAATAGAAATAGAAAATTTCCAATAATGTTAAAGAATAAAGGAAAAAGTATGAATATTTAGTCCTCTGGGTGTGTGGATTGAAGTAAGACTTCTTGAAGAAATAATGTCTTGCTTACACAGTTAAATATTTTTTCTCAATTGTGAGCATTTCGACCTAATTGGAAATGTGATTAATGCATCAGTTCATACTGTATAAAAGAGTATACAATGCAAACCAAGACTCTGACTTTACAGGTTCCGGTATTTGCACAAGCAATCTAATCATGCCTTTCAACATATAACCCCAAACAAAAAACCCACAAATATTTAAATATGTATTTCATTAACTACCTATTCCCTTCTATAGACACCAGCTCTGAATTCCAACTCTGAACTCCCTTTGAGTGCCTCTCCTTCTCTACTTGGGAAGATTTTCACCTTCTCTTTTATTTAAATAATTCTAGTAATGTCAAGAATAGTTGAACCCATTGTGTTGCCTTTGATTTTGTTTCTTTAAGATCTCTCAGCATTGTATTTTGAGGGAAAGTTTGATTTCATATGTGGGAACTAAAAGTCAAGCTGCAAAAGGAATTCATATTTGGAGAGCTAAGGCTGTGAGATTTCATTTTCCTTACTTTACTGTTCATTTCAATCTCTATGTGGAGTGTCCCTTATCTCCCGGGCCACCCTTTCCTGCACCTCATGTCAAAGGTCCTCGTAGATCGGTAGTGCAGCATTCTCAAGCATATGACCAGGGTTTCAGAGCCATATAATTTGTGATCTACAAGAAACCTCAGACAGCAAGTAGACAAATACAACTTTTTGCAGAGGAAGGTACTGAATCTTTTTTTTTTTTTTTGAGACAGGGTCTTACTGTGTAGTTCAGTTTGGCTTTGAGCTCACTCACTATGTAGTCCAGGCTGGCCTCGAACTCATGACCATCTTCCTGCCTCAGCCTCCTGAGTACTGGAATTACAGGGGTGTACTGCCATGCCTAGTGGCATAGAATTTTAAAAGGAAGATTAAGTTAGAATATTGAAACTAAGTATTTAGAGTCTTCGTATGTGACTAAGGTGGAGTAGCAGGACCTAGACAACCTCTTTCATCTGAATAGCTGAGGAAATGGTCAGGATCTGTGACATAATATCTGAGAGAGGAGAAACAGAGAAGATGATCTAGCAATTGCACTGTTGTCTGCTTGGGAAAGGTTTGTAGCCACAAAGAAAGGAGGGGACCTCTCGGAGACTTCTAGGTTTCTGCAGTGAGGAGATAGCAACTAAAATATTCTCTTTTCTTATATAAATTCACATACTCTCCACTTTGTCCTTTTCTAAATATTTCACTTTCACCTTTTATGAGTCATCTCCACCTACCTAGACTTAATGTTAGTACACATTGAGTTGGGAATCACAGATTTTCCTGCAAAATCTGGATTTCTACTAACGTATTGAGATTGGAAATTACTAAAAGGAAAAATAAGGCTACCTACTGTAGCACAAAATTATGTTGCAACTGATTTCATCACAGCTTTATTAGCTGATATTTATTGAAACAGACAACTGCAACTCAAATTTTTTTAAAATGCACAGCAAATAAGTGAGGAGCTTTGTCCACGTGTGTGACTTCCATAACTGGAGTGTCAACCCTGCACAAACGAACTCCACTCTGTTAGTTCGAAACTGCACACCAATCATCATCATTATTTTTACTCATACTTGTTAACTGTCTGACTCTTACTTAGTTGGCTTCTTTGCTGGGCCCCCTTGGTCTTAGATAATTGGAAGGCAAGGCCATCTGAGCACGTAGGTGGGATTCCCCTGCTTCAGTCTTCCAGAGTGCTGGTATGCCAGCCCTGTATTGCTGCACCCAACCATCACCTGCATTTCTGATTCCAACTGTTCACGTTTTCCTGGCTGTTCTTATTTTGTGCTGTAACAAAGTGCAGGAAACAAAAACAAACAAACAAAAACCCCAACTCCAAATCACAAACACAAAACCCTTCTTTCTAAGTACTTTGCTATCAATCTGCATAGATACTATATGTGAACATATATATGGACTATTCTACAGACTGTTACAATTGCATGGTTACAAACCATAATTATATGCAGTAAAAAGACATAATTTTCCATATTCTAAAATAATTTTTTTTAATTAAGGTTACCACCAATGACAGCAGGTGATGGTTGGGTATGGCAACACAGGGCTATGGTACCAGCACTCTGGAAGACCAAAGCAGGAGAATCCCACCTACGTGTTCAGATGGCCTTGCCTTCCAATTATTAAAGACCAAGGGGGTCCAGTAAAGAAGCCAATTAAGTAAGAGTCAGACAGTTAACAAGTATGAGTAAAAATAATGAGGATGATTGGTGTGCAGTTGATTTTTTCTGAAATTAAATGGACCAAGACACTTGATTCATGAGAAAATTTAGAAAGCACTTCTCTGGCCTTCACAGGCTTTTAGTTAAGCATCTCAGAAACACGTTTTTGTTTCTCTAACAGTGTACAGGCAGGGAGAGCAGGAAACCTGTGCAATGTGTCAAGGTGCCTTGCGTCTCCAAAGAAACATTTCTCAATTGGTCAAACGAAGAGCAGAAATGAAATGTAAATAAGAAAGCTCCTCCAGAGAACAGAATGTGTGTAGCTAAGGCATTTCTCCCCACTGTCAGAACAAGGAGCCCTTGAAGTTCTGATTGAATGAGATTTCTTTCACAATTGTAATGGAGCAATGGATCTGTTTAACTTCATCTTTTCTACTGCGGTCCTCTTGCATTTCCATCACTGTATACTGGATGTGTGTGGGGCGTGGTGGGGAGTTTGCTTTCTACTTTGCCAGAATGTTGTGCTCTCCTCTGGATCACACAGAAGGGGTGATGCATCACCCAGATTTTCCAAATTTGAACAAGTTGCAATAACTAGACAAGATCTTTGATTGCACCTCTTGAGGAGGGAATGTTTTCTATGTGTAAGAAGGGTACATGAATACTTGGATGGCCAGAGTGACAGTCTAGCAGAACAGCAAGTTCTCCCCAGACATTATTTTCCCCCTACTTCCTTTTAGTAATAGTTATATTGATTTTTAGTTAGAACAAGGTAACCAGCTAGACATGACATTCTCAAACCTTCGTTGCTCAATAGACATCATTGCAGCATAAATTACTCATCGAATAACTGAAAATAATTCCTGAATTCTTGAGGTCATGTGTTTAACGTAACATGCATAGCTTTTTACTAGCTTCCCTCTTCAGGGTGGCAATCCAGTAGACAACCCTCAGACAAACACCTCAGCCAAGGATTGAACAGCCTTACTGAACAGTAGATTTGTTTCACTGGTTTGGTTCCCTACATGATCAGGTGGAGAAAAGTCTATGTTTTTAACATGACTTTAATGTGATAAGGTAATATTTTAGAATTGTTTCATATGTGCAAAGTTTGGTGGTCTCTTTTTATCCTTGTTTAAAATTATACTTAGGCTCCTGCTTATTTTTGAGATTCCCATGACATTATTAACATTCTCTTTAAAATATGGTAAAGTACTGTATGAAAATTTACATTTGAAGCTTAATTATTCTGGATACTTAACATGTATCATTGGTTTGAGAGTTACAGGAAATAAATTGTAGAGCTGGGAAAACTTATGGTGCTTTTAAAATTGTTGACAGTGTTACCCTGATCCAGGTCTTTGCCCATACTGTACTGGAAAAATATTCAATTAATAGATTTGTCTGTATTTTTTTTAATATACCAGAGTTGTTTTAGCTCTAGTTTTGAGTACTAAAGTACTTATATATAATTTTATATTTATCTCTGAAACCCACTTTTAGAATTTATTTATAATCCATTATTAAACATATTTGCTTTAAAAATAAATAGGTAAATAAATTTACTTCTCCATTTATATCCCCAGTTTAATTTGAACTCCCTTTCCTAACAGAGATCTATGAATATTCCCTCTTGTGCCTCCACAAGTGCAAGGATGTAATTTCTTTCTTGAGTCTGAGTATTTTTTCTTAAATTTTTAGATTTACTGAATATTTTTTGTCTCTTTTTCCTTACTTAGGAATCAGTTTTCTTTTAGTGGCTCACTAATGATATTTAGGATTTATTGCATGTAAAAATTTTTCTATTTGGGCATTTTGATTATTTAACATTTTGTCATCCTTTACCCCATCACCCCATAATACCTTGGGTGGGTCCTATTTCCCTGTTGGAAACAGAGAAATGCTAACACAGCAGGACTGCAATGAAAACAGACACACAAATTATTCAGCTCACTTTATTTAATAGGCAATTTAAGGTTTTCTCCCTAGGAAGCGCAATGGTGAAGTCCAAACATTATCTTGACACCAGCGGGCAAAAGCTTGACAGTGCTGAAATAACGGAGTTGTACTGATGTTAAAGAGTTCCTGAGGTTCCAGTAATTTTATCCTCACATGGGTCTCAATGGGGGTAAGTTCTAACCAAAACCAAGTTGAGAAATAAAAGTACTAAGCTGACTTGGAGACTGTGGACAGGAAGAGCAGGAAGGAACATGTCAGTGACTACAAGTTGCTGAGCGCCTCCACTCCAGGGAGGACTTTGCCTTCTAGGAGCTCTAGACTGGCACCCCCGCCAGTGCTCACGTGGCTGACTTTGTCTTCGGTGTTCCATTTGGCACAGCAAGTAGCCGTGTCTCCACCCCCTATGATGGTGACACAGCCTCTGGAAGTGGCTTTCACCACCTCATCCATGAGGGCTTTGGTGCCCTGAGCAAAGGCGTCCCATTCAAACACGCCCACGGGGCCATTCCAAACGATCAGCTTTGCTTGGGCTACAACCTGAGCAAACTTTTTATTGCTTTCAGGACCGCAGTCCAAACCCATCCAGCCAGCGGGGATGCCAGATTCTACAGTGGCTTTCCCAACGGTAGCATTCTCATCAAACTTGTCACCAGTGACAAAGTCCACAGGAAAGGTTATCTTGACTCCATTCTTACTCGCTTTGTCCATGATATCTTTGACAGTCTTGGCCCCCTCCTCACAAAACAGGGAGGCACCGATCTCCATGTTGTTGAGTACCTTCAGGAAGGTATAAGCCATCCCACCACCGATAATCATGTGATTGACCTTGTCCAGCATATTGTTGATGAGTTGGATCTTGTCTCCCACTTTGGCCCCACCGAGTATAGCCAGAAAGGGTCTCTCTGGGTTTTCCAAGGCTTTGGCAAAGTATTCTAGCTCCTTCTTCATCAGGAATCCCGATGCCTTCTGGGGCAGGTTCACACCCACCATAGAACTGTGAGCCCGGTGTGCGGTGCCGAAGGCGTCGTTGACATACACGTCCCCCAGCTTGGAGAGGGACTCCCGGAAGGCTTGTATTTGATCTGGCTCAGCTTTCAGCTTCTTTCCGGAAGGATCTTGACCCTTCCCTTCTTCCTCCACATGGAAGCGCAGATTCTCCAGCAGGATAACGGACCCGGTGGCGGGGTTAGCACAGGCCTTCTCCACTTCTGGACCCACACAATCCTTCAGGAACAGAACATTTTTGCCTAGCAAGGTTTTGAGCTCAGCAGCAACGGGCTCCAAGGAGTACTTTTCAGGCATGGCCACACCGTCAGGGCGGCCCAGGTGACTCATAAGAACAACACTCTTGGCTCCGTGATCCAGGCAATGCTTGATGCTTGGGATGGCAGCCTTGATTCTCTGGTTGTTTGTAATCTGCTGATTTTTCATAGGGACGTTGAAGTCTACCCTCATGATGACTCTTTTCCCCTTGACATCGAGTTTGTCTAAAGTCAGCTTTTTGGAAAGAGACATCTTGACATATCAAGGCTGCCGCCTGGACTCACTCAGTGCTGGAGATCCCTTAACTGCTGCTGGTTGGCTGGCGGTTGGAAATTTCTAACGCCCTGATCGCCCCGCCTCTTCTTTCTGACGTTGAGACTCTCACTCTGTGATTGGACCACGGTTTTGTCAATCTGGACTTACCGTGTTGCCAGGTACCGGTTCAAAGGGAAATCTTTTTGGTACTTGCATTGGGGAGAGTTGAAGAAGTGGAGAAATGCCAAAATAAGAATGATCAGAAGGACTGAGCCTTCTGCTGGCTCCTTTACCCACATCTGCTTTATCCCATGTCCATGACTACTCTTATTCTTAAAAAGCAAAACAAAGATCCAAATGTATAATAGATACTGTGAAATAGGAAGAAATGTTCAAATGGACAGGAAAAACGGAGTGGGGAGGGGGAAAGGACGGAAGTGAAAAAATGGAAACAAAGCTTTTGTAAATAAAGTAGGGGAGAGGGGTTGAAGGAAGGGTAGGGGAATGGGAAAAAAATCAAGTTATATCGTGTACCAGGTACAAATTCCCTATCATCAATGTGATCATTATGTATACCAAAAATGTACCAAGAAACCTAATTAATGAGAAAAAGGAAAACAAAAGCTCATCCAGACATCCTCAAGGACCTGGATGACTACATAACCCTCTGTCGTATCAAATCTCGATCAAGTTAATGTGTTAAAAACTTTTGCAGTGTCGGATTGGAACCATACCTTACTTTCAATACCTTGTTTTGTCCATTCTCAGATTACCACGAACGAATGCTTGCTGGCGTCTGCAAGAAAATGCCTTAGCATCCCAGTAAAGTCAGTACCAGTAAAAAACACTGAGTGTGCTCTTGACAGTTCTTTCAGTCCACCAAATACTGATGAGGCTTTTTATTTTTTTCTCCTTTTTCCTTGACTCCCTATGTATCTGAATTGAGCTGAAAAGAAGCATACTATTCTTGAGAATGGAAATCTGCTAGAATTAAAAATGAATGAGAGATGTTAGTTTTACAAAAAGCAAGAATGTGTGGCTTATCAGTGTATACTGCAGTATGTCTCCAATTTTTCATTCAGGTTTTTCCATAGTTGAATGTTTTAAATATGTAACATGAAGATTTTGACAAAAGTATATTTGAAGTACTCCTCCAAATGGTTAAAATAAAGGTCAGATAAAAGTGTTAATATCATTGGGTATGTTGTTTACTTTTCTCTCATTGTTGGAACAAAATACTTGATACCCAGAATTGAGGAAGGAGAGGTTTATTTAGCTCACAGTTTGTGGAGGTTTCAGTCCATACTCGGCTGACTCCAAGGCAGAGTGGCACATGGTAGAGGGCAATGGCAGCAGAAGACAGCAAAAGCAACAAGAGCAAAAAAGGAGCATGAGCAAGCCTCTTTCCCTCTCTTATATTATATGCAAGCTACCCGCCCGGGGTGGGTGTAGCACTCATACCCGTAATCCCAGCATTCAACCATGAGTCAATCAAAAACTGCACACCAACCCTGTGACTGCATGAGGCTTTGGGGGGACATCTAGACACAAACTATAGCATTAGGGGTTATTTAAAATCCTTCTGTGTTGCTGGTAATAACTGTGAAACAGTCTAGCCATTTTCAAAAAGAGTGTATTATTTCCTCAGAATATTAAACTTGGAGATATCATTTGATTCAGTAATTGTATTTCTAGCTACATACTCTACTGATATCACTACATTATTATTGCATGACTAAAATCCTAAAATCTGACAAAAACATATATTTTCAAAGGCACATAACAAATGAACACTCTCATTTAATTTGATTGGAAATGAAATGTGTAAAAACTACTTTAGCAAACAGCCTGACATTTTCTCTCAACATAAACATGCACTCACTATCTGAGTTATTAACACCAGTCCTATGTATCCATCCAAGTCCATAACAACAACCATGTTACTTGAATATTCTGTTACAGATGCTTATAGTAGCTTAATTAATAATTATAAAAATTGAATATCCTTCAATTTTTGAATGGATAGATTGTAATATGTACATAAATTTATTTCTTAGATAAAAAGAACACACTACACAAGCAAAAGTTCTAGCAGAGATTTAAACTTATTTTGGTAAATAGTAGAATCCACCACAAAACTCTATAGATACTGTATGATCCCATCCATATAAAATATTAAAACAGATTAAAATATAGGGATAGGAAACTTATCAGTGGTTGCTGTGTGTTAGAAATAAAAGGAGGTCAGGGAGGCTTTAGTGTGGCCAAATTCCTCTATATTATACTAGAGTGGTAGATACATGATTGTACATAGTTATCAAAATTCACAGAATTGTACATTATAGACCTTGGTTTATATTGGATGCAAATTACAAATGAACTAAGATTTTGGTAAGTCTCAGCATGGAAAGCAGTCTGTGAAAAAAGAGGTTAATTCCACTGTCATGTAGAAGAAATCTCAATGTCAGTGATGTTGGACAAAGAAGATGACTTTAGTAATATCAGTTTGAAAGGCTAATAACAAAAAGAACTGTAGAAAAATATAATACTAAAAATCGGTAAGTCTATTTATTACAGGCATAGAGTTTAGTAACTGTAAAACTACATGTATATTGGAGATTAACAAACAAAACCAGTACTGGTAAGTAATGGAAGTTAGGTTATGACTTAGAAAAGGACGTTGTACAAGCAAGGAGGAAAGCTGCAATGAACTCTAGCGAGGAGGCCCAAATCACAGGTATCAGTATGAATTTATAGGAGGTTGAATATAATTGCTTGCATTGCAGATATGGAAGCAGTTTAGATATGTGCATATTAATGTGTTAGATTTCTGTAGTTTTTGTAGCAAATTATCACAAATTTAGATACTTAAGACAACACAATTTTGTTTTCAGTTTTGAAGGTCAGAAATCCAGATGTGCTTGGCTAGTTTCTCTGCTCTGGGTTTTACAAGGCTGAATATAGGATTTTGGTGCTTGGTTTTCATTAGGACGACCTAGGAAGGATTTCCTTGTAAGGCCACTTTGGCTTGGGCACGTTTAGTTCGCTACAGTTTCAGGATGGTGGTCTCTGTTCCTTCCCTGGCTGTTAACCCACAAGGCCCTTTCATGAGCTTCCTGCACAGGGCTTCTATTTCTCAGAAGCAGCATTCCTGAACTGGATTATTCTTAGTCTTGGACATCTCTTTGCCTTTCACTTCCATTGCTTCTGGCTTCTTTCAATCAGAGAAAGTACCCTGGTTGTTAAGGACTCATTTCATTAATTTGGTACCTGAGGGATAAATGACATAGGGTAAATGAACTACTCTACATGTGCAACTTAATCATGCCTACAAAAATCCCTTTTACAAGTCAGATGATGTTTTCACAGTTCTGGAGAGCAGGATGCAATGGTGAATCTTGATTATCAGTTTGATTGTCTGGATAGACGCTGAGGATATTTTGTAAAGCCCACTTCGGGGCTTGTCTCTGTGGGTAATAAGAGCATGGCTTTGGGGTCTGTGTCTTGTCACCAGTGAAAAGTCGTGTGAAGATCATGAATGCCTTGATATGAGGCCAAGTACTTACATACCTTTCCCTCTGTAATATTATTAACTCTATAACCCCAGTCTAGTCATGAAAAACTAGGTAGACAAAAGGTGGGAAAATTCTATATGTTGACTGACCAGTATTCTTTAAAATTGTCATGATTATGACAATCAAAAAATGTTGGAAAGCTCTCAGAGAGCAGAACAGAATAATATGGTATTCTGGATTTGAATTCTGAAACTGGAAAAAAGGACTTTAGTAGAGCAACTGATGAACTCCAAAATAAAATTTACAATTTGGGTAATTATAATGCACCTATGACAACTTCGTAGCTTGACATATGCAACATGGTCACGTAAGATACTAGCAGCAGGTGGAAATAGCTGGAGAATATATGAGGACTATCTGTGCTATACTATACACCTAAAGTGATTTGAAAATGAAAAGTTAAATATAAAATATACTACATAAATATAAAAATCAATTCTGTTTATAATAGTTTCTTCCACAAACCATGAGACAACTAATAATAACAAAATACATATAATACTTCGACTTTTGAAACAATAAAATATTTGTGAGAAAATCCATCTGATATATAAATAATTGAAGATATTTATAATATTTATTTACTGGAATATTCAATATTGTTATGATGTCAGTTCTTTCCAAATTGATCTATTGCTAAAACATGACCTATGAATTCAAGAAAAGACCACACATAAGATCATAAATATTTATATAAACACTGACAAGCTTATTCCAAAATTTATATAAAAATATAAATTCCAGAATAGGAATAATAAGCTTTACAAAGAAGAACAAATGTAGAAATCTTATAGTAATGGATTTTATGAATTTTAAAGCCACAGTAATCCATACACTATGGTACTGTATGTACATAAATGTGTAGATCAATGGAACAGAATAAAGAAGTAGGAGTTGAGACCAATTATATGCTCATGTGATTTCTTCTTTTTATTTTATGGAAAAAATAAAGTTTAAAAATAAAATAATAGGAGAATAGCAATAGTTAATATATTGCATTTTATTATCTTTAAAGTAGTTATTCAGAGAACAAGGTATGGGCATGAAAAATTCTCCATACAGTATTAGCACAAATCTTTCTTTTCAATAAATTAAAAGAAACTAGTCGTATAACTATTGTGTTGGTTTGGGGCTTATTTCTGCAAGGGAGCACGATATAATACAGGACACATATTTTATAAGATTATTTATAATAGTCACCCAAAGAATTATATGCACAAGAGTGCAGTAAATCTGTCCACACACTAAGACCAAGGAATCCAGCTGAGGGCCTGGATCCACAAAAATGTCCTGCACAAGTCCAGCTTAAGACCTAGAGCTCATAACAATGCCTCCTATGAATCCAGCTGGAGGCCCAGAGCCCATGACAATGTCTCATGCAGGCCTATTTCACAGATCTGCCCTGTGAAGGCCCAAAGGTCAGTGGTGGAATCTAGGAAGTCTGTGCCAGCGGGATGAAGGATCTGTGCTAGCAGGCTGAGGGATCTGCACTGGAGCCAGGAAGCAATGCACAAAATAAGA